TCCACCGCAACCATTCGTCCGTGTCGGCCTCATCCACAACCGCCCCCTGCCCCTGCATCCACTCGTACAACCGCCTCGACCCCGACACCCCCATCGCTCCCCACATCGACATCACCGTCCGTATCAACACCCCCCGGTACTGGCACCTCCCCCCTTCTACCCGCCCGAACCCGCCCGACGGGCCCCTCGCCTCGTACCGCCGGCATATCGCCTGCCGGATCCCGCAATCGAAACAACACGAATATGCCTCCCACCGGACTACCTGCTCCGCCCGCCCTACCATCCTACGTACCACGCCCGCGTCCCTGTCCCGGCAACCATCCAACGTGTGCGCGCGGTAACCCTCCCCTGTACTTGCTGTGTGCTCCGCCCGCCCGCCCGCCCGCCCTGTTCTCGCCTACGCCTCGCACCGGTAACACGCCTCCTCCCCATCCTCGCACCCCGTCCGGTCCGCCCGCCCGTCCATCTCGCCGTCCAACACCGCCCGCACGCACCCCTTCGTCTCCATAAACGCCCACATCGCTCGCTCCACCCCACGCGCCTCCGCCTGGTCCGCCGTCTCCTCGATCGGCCGCCTGTGCCGGTCGTACGACACTGCCCGCACCATGATCGCCTCGCTCGCCTGCCCGTCGCGCCCGGCCCGCCCACTCTCCTGCGCGTAATCCCGCAACTGCCGTACCAACCCGACGTGCACCACTGCCCGGATCCTCGGCGCGTCGGCCCCTAATCCCAACGCGTTCGTCGCCGTGAACACCTGCCTCGTGCCCTCGCGTAACTGCCGGACTACTGCCCGCTTCGCCTCCGCCCCGCCGACGTTCCGATGCTAACACAACCCTCCTAACCGCTTCGCGTACTGCTCCGCCTTCCAGACCGTGTCGCAATATACTACAATCTGCCCGCCCCCGGCCTCCTTGTACTTCGCCTGCTTCTCCTCCACCAATGCCGCCACCACCTCCTCTTCGTCCTCCTCTCCCCTGTTGTACCGCCGCACCTCGTACCGTACGTTCGCCCGCGTGGTGCTGCCCCGGAACCACCGTACTGCCCCTGCCCCTGCCCCTGCCCCTGCTCCCGTACCCGCCCCGGGTAAGCCGACCAACCGCCCGAACTCGGCCTCGTCCGCCGGCCGCAACGTCGCCGTCAAATACAACATCTGCGCCTCCGCCTTGACCAACCCGCGCAACCCCAACATCCGTGACCGCCACCCGCCCCCGGCCCCCGAATCCAACACCACGTGGCACTCGTCCACCACGATCCGGTCCAACCGGCCCATCGCCCGCTGCCGGTTGACGAAATGCCCGAAACTCTCCGACACCGCCGCCTCCGGCGTCACCAACACCATCGACGCCCACTCGTGCGGCCGTCGCCCGCTCCACTCCACGCACTCGATGCCCAACCCGTCGTACCGGTCCTTGATGTCGCCGCGCAACGACACCAACGGCACCACCACGATCATCAACCCGCCCACCTCCGCCGCGCACGCCGCCGGCAACATGAACAACATGCTCTTGCCCCCGCCCGTACCCATCACCACCACCACCGGGCTCTCCTGCCGCACCATCGCCTGCAACGCCGCCTCCTGCACCCCGCGGAACCGCGCCTCCGGCCCCAACATTCGCCGCAATGCCGCCCCGATGTCCACCTGCCGCATCCTCTTCCACAGCCGCTCCTCCTCCGCCGTCGCCTGCTGCGTTACGTCGGCCAATCGGCATGGCCTGGCCTCCCCGCCGCCGCTGCCCCCTTCGCGCACGACGGAATCGAACATGCAGAACGCGTGCCACTCGCGGCTGACCCGCCGGAACCCGATCCGCCGTGCCTCGGTACTGAACAACGACTCCGCCGTCGACCGCCCGTAAATGCCCTCGCCGATCCGCGCCCCGTGCCCGCTCTGCGCGTGGAACGCCTCCCCGACACCCCCGCCCGGCCATGTTTCGGCCCTCTTCGTCCTCGCCCTCGGCCGTGTCCGCGTTGTTCATCTCGATCACCGGCTTGTTCCGGATGTATCGCCGGTAAATCGCCTTGACGCTGTGCCGCCACGACATGATGCCCAACTTCTCGCCCATGTACTGCGACAACACCGTGCCGATCTGCCGGCTGATGCGGTTCGTATCCCACACGTCTGCCTGCCACCACGTCTCCTGGCCTGCATCCTCCTCCCCGGCCCTCCCTACCTTCTCTCTTTCTTCTCCCTCGTCTCCTTCTTCTCCCTCTCCCTCTCCCTCTCCTTTCCCTCTCCCTCTCCCTCTTCCCCTTCCCCTTCCCATCCCCCGACCCTGCCCCTGCCTGCTGTGTGTGGCTAGTCTGGCAACCGCGCCGCTGACAGCGTCCGCCTCCGTTTCCTGGCTCTGTTACCCCCTACTGCCCTCTTCCGTTTGCCGCCCGCCCCCTTATCGCCGCCTACCCGCCCATCCTCGTCTCCCGCTGCTGCTGACCCCGATCTGGGAAACGACCATGGCTCGTCCGCCCGCGGCTCCCATATGTACGGACCGCCCCCATCCGCCTCGCCCTGGCTGGCCCCCTGCACCACTAACCGCCAAAACGGGATCGCCAACCACACGTAATGCACCGCCAAACTCGCCCACCTCGCGCGGCAAATACCGGTGGATCACCTTGGCCTTGGCGCTCATCCCCATCGTCTTGTTGTACATCGTCACGAACACCACCGCCCCGTCCTCGACGAACAACCCGCGCACGTCCCCGTCCGGCCCGTTCTTGTACTGCACCGACACCAACTCGGTCCCACGTGCCGGCTGCCCGCCGCTCACGTGCATCAACACCAACAACTGCGCCCGGAACGACTTGATCGCCTCGCTATACTCTCGTACGCGGCCCATCTGCCACCGCGCCACCCCGTCGCTCGCCTTGAAAAACTCGCCCCGCAACCGCGCCTCGCCCGCCACCCGCCCGGCCAACCACGTCTTCTCGTCCACGCCGCCGAACGCCTCCTCGTTCCGCGGGTCCTCGGCGAAACTCCACCCCGCCCTCGTCTCGGCCGCGTTGTCCACCAACCTGTCCCATCGGATCACCGGCCATGCCGTCGCCCCTGCTGTCGTCCCTGTCGCCCCTGTCGCCCCTGTCGTCGCCCCCGCCGCCGGCTCGCCCTCCTCGTCCACGTCCAACAACAATACGGCCTTGCGTAACTGTGCCCGCGCCGTGTGCAACAACCCGTGGATCATCGCCCGCAACGACGCCATGCTGAACTGCACGTGCCCCATCAACAACTCGTCCCCGTGCCAATCCACCACCACCCCGTCTGCGTTGGTGTTGGCCCGGATCGCCTTGCCGTACGCCCGCAACCGCAACACCGAATCCATCGGCGACGACCGCCCGTCGTACGCCACGATCGTCATGAACCGCTGCACCATCTCCCGCACCCGGTCGAAATGGCTGCGTGCCCGCCGCCGCGCCTCTGCCTCGCCCTCGCCGCTCCCGCCTCCATCCTGGACTCCGTCGGTCAGCGGTATCACCTCGAACAACCGCTGCAACGCGCCTGTATGGCCGAACCGCTGGCAATGCACCCCATCCGCCCCATGCCTCGCCTAACCCGCCGGCCGGCCTCGCCCCGGGTTTGCCGCCACGCCTCCTTGGGTTGGCCCAACCGTGCTCCCAACCGGCAATGCTTCTGGATGTCCTGCCTCGTGCGCCGTATGTGCCCGCACTGCACACACCGCTTGCCATCGCTCCAAACGGGCAAACTATCGATTACGGGTATGACCTGGTCGGGGAACCGGATGTCATGTATATCGCCGGCCAACAACCCGTTTCCGTGTAACGCCGACGCCTCCCCTACAATGCATCGCCGGGTGCACGTAAATGGCCGTGATGCGAATTGACGTGCCGCGCGCGACCGACTTGGCCGTGACGGCGGTGCGGTGCTCGCGGCAAACCGCCGTTCGAAACGCTGGTAACGGTACGAATAACTCGTCAAACGACGCCATAACTATTGATCTCTCTTCGCTCCCGCTCTCTTTTCCTTCGTTTCGTTGGCCTTTTTGCCCCGGCAATCTAGTTGTCACCTTGCTTTGCTGGGGAGTCGCTGGGCGATTGGCATTGCTAACGGCTACCGCTTTCTTTTCTTATTTCCCTTTTGTCTTTTTTCCCCCTAATTCAAAATGCTCTGCACAATCCGGCCAAACGGGGCATCACACCACCGAACTGCTTGCATTGGACGAACGACGCGCTGCGGTGACAAACGGGCGGCGGATTCGGCTCCGCCGGCATGGGTTTTCCTTATACCTGCAATCGCCCGGCGGCCCAATTGGCCATTTGCGGTCGAACTGGTTGCCGGCGCCCGGTCGCAATCAGTTCGACCGCAAATGGTCCGAGCGCCCACGGGGCCGCACAGCGGAGCCGTCAATCCGTTCCACCGGAATGTTTGTCTATGACGAATATCGGTCCCAAACCACTGAAAGGGACTCCTCAGACTGAAGATTCGTAACAACGGGGTGAGGTTCGGTAGAGCCAAAGGGTCTACAACAATTGACACAAGCAAGTGTTCACACAGTAGTAAAGACAACTGCTTGCATTGCTTACTGGAGAACCACCTGAAGGTCCTCCAACGAGTGACTATCTAGCTAGGATATATAATACTCCGTTTCGCCGTCCTGCGTGATCTATCACTGGTGACTACCCTATCCTCACGACTGATATTCATTATCACCAGTGATAGTTCGACCCTGTTGGTGATAACTTCCCGATTGGTTCGTTAAACGATTGGTCGCCAGGGTTCCTCACGTCCCGGCTGCAGCCTCCCAGGCCGCCTGCGTGGTTTGCTCGTAACACCACCTCCGCTATGCCCAAGTCCCGACGTCTCCCTATCCGCTTAACACTCCTAGTCCACTATTGTTCTCCTGTCTAGATGCCACTCAAGCAAGTTGCAAGCTATATTACCGTTGGATATCCTTCAGATCTTTTCTCCTTGGTCCACAAGAGATGGCGACAGCCAGCAGCGGAAGCTACCCGGCCGAGAGTCTCAAAGCAGAGCACGGAAAGATCCGCCTTCTCAGCGTCTTGCCCGGCGTTGGCGAAGAGGTCATCAGATGCACCCTGCGCATCGCCACCCTTCTGGACCTAGACAGCTACGAGGCAATGTCTTACGAATGGGGCGAGCCGGGCCTCGGCAGGACAATCCTGGTCAATGACAGCGAGTTTGAAGTTGGCGAAAACCTGTTCCAGGCGCTTCGGCACCTTCGGCTGCCCGACTCAGCACGCGTCTTGTGGATCGACGCTATCTGCATCAATCAGTCCGACCTTCGAGAACGGAACCACCAAGTCCAGCAGATGGCAGACGTCTACAGCAGGGCTCAACAGGTCATTGCGTGGATCGGTCTTGAGACGGAGGACAGCAGAGAGGCATTCGAATTCCTCCGGACCGCATTCGTCTTCAGCCCGAGCAATCGCACGTCCCTGATGGACCATCCCGGCTGGAACGCCGTCAGCAAACTCTGCCAGAGGCCCTACTGAAACACAGTCTGGATCGTGCAGGAGATTTGCCTCGCGAAACGCCTTGCCATCAAGTGTGGCGCGAGCCAGATTCCCTGGAAGCTCATCTCGGAGTTGCGCTCCGCGAGGAAGCACATCTGGCCTCAGTACCTCTCCGAAGGAGAGCGGTTGTTTGTCCGGAGCAATACGGCACGCATCGACCAACAGCGCGAGATGCGCAAGAGGAATGGTTGTGTCCTGTGGAGGCTGCTCGAGACCTTCCGAGACTCGCTATGCAAAGAAATACACGATAAGGTCTACGGGTTCCTAGGCCTTTTTAGCGACTGCGACGCACAGAGGATCCCCGTCGATTACCCCAAGTCCGTCTTCGAGATTTACGAAGATGTCATGTGCTTCTATCACAGCAAGTTTCGAGGCCGGACGGGCATCGAACCACCTCTTGGTGCGCAGCTAGCCCGGCTAAGCGAGTTCCTCCAGGAGTTGCTTGGGCTCGGCCATGGGTCCGAGTTGGCACCGCCTTTTGCATGTTCTATGCCTCGATCTTCTATAGTGGAAATATCTGCAACCCGCGTTTTTGTTGTAGAGGGATTCCTCGATGCGAAATTGGCCGTGCCATACAGAGCATTGGAGTTGGCTGAGTTCCTCCAGGGTACCATCCCGTACTCTCATTTAGGGCACTGGCGTAGCGTCATCAGCCCCGACGTTGGCGAGGTCTATGCGATTCGCAATTCTCAGGCTGCGCTCCTGTGCCATGTTGAAATAAGTCAGGCAGTTGTCATCAGTGCCAATAGCACTGCCAATGCCAGTGCCGTGGCGAGAAACAAGCGGGTCTTTTACGCGCGTCCACCGACACCGGCCACACACATAGCCTCCACAGTGAGGAACCGATACGTTATTGGCATCTGCCCGGGAGGGAGTCGGCTCGGCGACGTTGCCTGCACTTTTCTGGAGAGCCGCCTAGCGTTGGTTTTCAGGCCAGCCTCTGCCACAACTCACGCCCTGAACGAGCCGGGTCACAGAGGTCTTCACGGAGGCGGTTTTGTTCTTGTTGGTCGTGCCGTTGTCGATCTCTCAAGCGACGAAAACCTCCACCCCTACAGGGCCCTGCTCAACCCCGATAAGACGGTGGATGTAATCCAGGTTCAAACCGACACAACCTCCGACTGGGAACAAGACCCGCCATGACCGGCAACCGTCTCCATCGACCTGGAACCGCTGCTGCTTGTCACAAGACCTGAGACTCATCATTATTCGCGAGGGTTTGCGAAGGCCAAGCTAAGTCTCCTGCCTGAGCCTCATAAGAATCCGCTATCGGCAGCGCCAGTTCACGACGAGATAGAAAAGGAGGGCAAAACCCGCAGCACAACCGAGCCGGCCCACAAGAGAGCGGGACGCATCAACAACGAGAAACTGGATGACGAGCTCCGGCTGTTATATTCTGATCCGCAGCTCAGGAAACACGCGCTGGTGCTTGGGAGGGCGGGCATCGTCAACCTCGGATCGACGGGATGCCTGAGCTCTACCCTGCAGATCCTCTATATGCTGAAACCCATCCGAGAGGTAGGCGGCATGTCATTCATCCTGGTCCTGGAGTTGCTTCCCCTGACACTGAAGCCGCAATCAGAACATCCTCGACGACGAAGCCGTACGCAGGGCTAGTCCCATTGGCGCAGCACTACATGGCGTGTTTCAGCATCTACAGAGTTCCTCCCTGCCTGTATCAGTATCACCTCTGGCGCTTACCCGGGCTTTCGGCTGGGAAGATCGCCACCTTCATGAAGCGCAGGATATCTTGGAGTTCTGGAGGAAACTCACCGATCTCTTCTATCGGAAGAGACTCGGAGAGGGTTTACGCAGCACGTTCTGGAACTTATTTGCAGGCCAGATGAAAACAAGTCTGAGAGGAGCTGGGCGGGACAGGGTTGAGACTTTCTTTGGTAGGAACCCCGAACTGAGCTCAGAGATCCAAAATGCGCGGGCACGACGAATTGATTCTGTGCTGATGCTGAGGGCCAAGCAGACCTACGGGCAAATACCCGATACATCGACAGGACCGAGATCAACACGCTTGACGAGTCGCTCCGCGAATACTGTTCCGAGTTCGAGGGCAGGAAGGCTGATTTCCGGATGATACCTCCAGTTTTCATGATTGAGATTCAGAACATGATCTCCAACCCTGAAACAGACATGATGGATACGGTAAGCCCGTCCCGGTGTGCCACCAGCCAGACTCCTAAGACCTCACGCCTTTGTAGTGGCGCTCAACGTTCACGTACCCGCGCGTGCTGGACCTCACGAGGTGCATCAACAAAGACGCAGAGAACATCAGACTTGCTCTATCAGCTCCACGGGTAATTTAGTATCTATTCTCATCAACTGCCCACATTCATTACTGATAAGCTAACGAACCATCCCCTTTACAGGGTGGTAGTATGGGAAGAAGTTGAACCCGTGCCCAGGTTCCTGCTGTATCTGAGGCGCCGCGTCGAGGAGCAGTGGCTTCTCTTCTTCAACGAGTCGGTCACGTACGCGCGTGAAAGCGAGGTGTTTGAGCACAACTTTCGCCTGGGCGCCGACTCATTGCCACGGGGTGCGCCGCTGAGGGTCCCGATTTTTCTTCTCTATCTTCGAGTGTCTATGCTTGACGGCCTCTTGGGCTGAGAGCGAGGGAACGCTCGCGCCACGCTGCCAATGTATGAGAAGCAAGAATACCTACTGGCTTGATGCTATGGCCGAGGAAAGATTTTGGCCATGCATTACCTTGAGTCCACCACGGACTATTCGTCCAACCGCATGTGTGCCGATGAAAGAGATATCTTCAGGGGTTTCATCCCTCTAGCGAGGCAAGTTCCACATGGGGCTGGTTCGGAGACGCCGCGCAGTCAATCTGGGGCTGAGTTCCGAAAGGCGAAGATGGCAGTTCCAGACCCGACAGCATGGTTCAGCTCAACAACCATACAAATACTCCGTATAAGGTATTTGTACCACTTTCTTCACGCGCCCAACTGCTCGCATTGCCAGACCACCAGCCAATCGTTATGCGCCCTGTGGGCGTCTCATTCGCTGCGCCGCAGGCTCACAATTCAATCAGCTAATGAGCGGTGCAGTCAGGCACTCATGGCAAGGTGAGAGCGGCCTTTCCTCTTTGCTACCCCTACCCTACTGAATGAAGTGTCTGGAGTAACCGCTTGACTCCTCCGCTAAGTCTAGGGACTAAGTATTTCTCTCTGGTAGAGCTGTTCAACCGCTACCATCTAGCAGCCAAGGTGTGTGTCATTTACGTCCTGGACGAGGAGGCGCTTGGCGAGGGGCTAGAGGTACTGTATGGCGACAGGGAACTGCTCGTGGTCTGGTACGATGCCTTTGAGAAGACGGTACGCTACCGCTGGAGGAGCGTAGTAGACATTAGCCAAGAAATGGCCCTGATTAATATGATATTAATCGACAACTATCCTGTGTGGACCCAAGCCGAGATTGGGGAGGACTATAACTAGGATGGGCCGCTCGGCCCGCCTTCGACATAGGAAGGTGATAGCGACACGGATCAATAATGGTGGAGAGTATAAAGATCGCTGCGTTAGGGGGCCTACCTCACTTGAATTCAACCCGAAGAGCATTCATACCTCCCCTAATTCTTTCGCATACGGACCGGGAGCTTGTCTCTTATCCTCTGCTAACTCCATCGCTCAGATATCTTCTACGCAAGCCACCGCCGGAGAAACTGCAACCGTCTCCGTTTTCCGTAATCCGAATCTCCCGCCCCATGCCCCTTCCCCGGCATCAAGAGCATGTCATAATCCTTATCAGCATCGTTCAGCGCCTTCACCAGCTGCAGCGTCGAGGCCGGATCGACATTATCATCCAACTCCCCCACAATAAGCAGCAGCGCCCCGGTCAGATTCGCGGCGTGCACCACGTTCGATGACGCCGCGTACGACTCATCCACCGGCCACCCCATCCACTGCTCGTTCCACCACATCTTATCCAGGCGATTGTCATGACACCCGCAATCCGCCACAGCCGCCTTGTAAAACCCTCCGTGAAAGATCAAGGCCGCCGCAGCGTTCTGCCCGCCCGCGGATCCGCCGCAGATACCGACACGCGACAGATCCATCCAGGGACGAGTGCTCGCTGCCGCCTTGATCCAGGCGATGCGGTCTGGGATTCCCCCGTCCTTGAGGTTCTTGTAGCACACATCGTGGAAGGCCTTGGACCGCCAGTTCGTGCCCATGCCGTCGAGCTTGACGACGATGAAACCGTTGTCTGCGAGCTCGTGTTGGCCGAGGCTGGGCATAAAGGGCTTGGGAGTGAAGAAGTCCTGCGGACCGGCGTAGATGTCCTCAATGACAGCGTACTGCTTGGAGGGGTCAAAGTCCTTGGGTCGCACGATGATGCCGTGGATGGGCGTAATGCCGTCCCGGCCTGGACTGGTGAAAATCTCGGGGGCGTTCCAGCCTTCCGCCATCAGAGAGACGGTATCGTCGCCTTCGACTTCGATGATGTGATCGCCTGAAGAGGCGTCGCGGAGGTTGGTGACTGGGAGCTGGTCGATTCGTGAGTAGGTGTCAAGGAGGTAGTGGTTGTTGGGGGAAAAAGTCCAGGAATGGGTTCCGTAACCTTCGGTGAGGAGGGTGAATTCGGAGCCGTCCAGGTTGACTCGGGCCAAATGTCCATAGTATGGATCCTGGTCTGGGATGATGCCGTACACGGTGAGCCATGCTTGGCGGGTGTTCCAGTCGACTCTCTCGACTTCCCGGACAACCCACTCGCCACTGGTTACTTGGCTTTTGACCTCCCCGGATTTCATGTCGTAGAGGTACAAGTGGTTCCATCCGTCACGCTCGCTCGTCCAGAGAATCTCGGTCGTGTTTGGGGAGACGAGGTAGTACATCTTCTGCGAGTAGTCGATAAATGTCTCGCTGCTCTCCTCGACAATGGATCGAACTGCTCCTTGACAATTCATGCCAATCACCCGTAGGTGCTTGTGGCCACGCTCGTTGAAGATGAAACGGTACTCGTCGCCCTCTTGGTTCCAGCCCAAGTTGCGGATGTAGTACGGGTTCCGGAACAAAGTGTCGTCGGTTGGGACCTCGACTCTGCCTTCAACGTCAAACATCCGGGGTCGGTCGACCCTTACTTTATCTCCTGGCTTAAGATATGTCGTGGTAGTGAGTTTTGGCTGGAGCTGATCTTTCGGTGTCGACTCGACCAGGTTAAGCGAATACCCTTCCTCGGGTGTATACTCCCAGACAATCGAGAACTTGCCGTCGGCACTCCGAAAAATTTTGCCAGAGTCGAATCGAGTCCCCGACGAGGCGCTGTCGGTGATTCTGTGCTCACCTTCGGCATCACGGATCCATACATCATAACCCCGCACAAAGATCTCATGCTGTTCCGCTTCAGCATCCCTCTTCTCCTTGCTCCTCTCCGCCGCCTCCCTCGTCTTCCATCCTTCAACGACAGCCACTCCATCGCCTTCAATCGCCTTATAGGCCTTCCTTTCTCCATTCTCCCCCTCCACCCGCCACACGTGTCCAACGTAAGTCCTCATGCCCAACTCCTTCCCGGCGTCAACCCTCCCATAATCCACGGCGACCCCCTTGGAATCGATCCAAAACACCTTCAGCACCCCCGCGGTCCGATTCACGATGGTGAGTAACGTCGTAGCTCCACCGTTTGTACTCGGCTCCTCTACTGGCAAGGGCTCCAGCTTGTTCTTCCACCCCTCAACAACAGCCAGTCCCTCGCCTTCAACCGCCTTGTAGGCCTTCCTCATCCCATCCTCCCCCTCCACCCGCCACACATGTCCAACATAGGTCCTCATCTCCAACTCCTTCCCCGCCTCGACACTTGCATACTCCACGGCCTCCCCCTTGGAATCGATCCAAAACACCTTCAACACCCCACCAGTCCGATTCAAAAAGACGAGTCCCGTCTTTTCCCCGCCGTTCGTACTCGGCTCCTCCGCCGCTAAGGGCTCTAGCTTGGTGCCGAAATCACCGTCCCAGACTTCCAAAGCCCCATCTCCGTTGCGGAACTGGAAAGTCTTCCCGGAAAAGCGGAAGCGCACAGTGGATGCGTCGGGCGCGAGTTCAATCCATGAGAAGGGGGGTACGGAAGGGTCCACTTCCTGGCCCGTATGCTCGGCTAGCTTCTGCGCGAGAAGGGCATGGTTAAAGGCCGGGCGGCGGGACGGGGATTGGGCGTCGACAAAAATGAACTCGGTTGTGCCCGAGGCGGATGCACGGAGGTACCAGAGGCTGGTGTCAGAGATCCAGTGGGGAGTTACACTGGCTTGAGCAAAGTAGCGTTCTTCTGGGGTGGCCATTTCGATTCTTGAGCGGAGATGGATCCGTATGAATTGATTATTCACGGTGTTGGGGAAATGAGATAGAAATAGCGGGCTGGTGAAAAGGATAGCCGTTAATTTTTGGGCTTCTGGTATGTTTACAAGGACGGAGTCACGGAATATATACCGAATATCTCGATACGGAAGTCGCATCGATAGTTTGCATGTTTGCTGCATTACTGGGCTGGAAATGAGGAGGCGGCCCCATTTTGTAGATCTGAGTATTACATCGCCGAGTACCTACCCGGGACTGGGTGGGCCGCAGCAGAGGGGCTATTTCGTATTTTCGTCGTCTACCTACCCCGGCGAGTCCCGAATCCCGATGTGCATGAGGTTGTCCTCCTGTCTTCTAATCAAGGTTGTGCACAGTAGCAAATAGGTGAGATAGTCGGCGAGCAAACAATACCCGCGAGCGCTAAACATGAGGGGTCAAACCAAATTCCCTATACGGGTCGAGCTGGTTCCATTGGACTCGTTGCATTTACCTTGTCAATGGGTCTCAAGCGGGAGCGAACACACCAATAAATTGTCCAGCTCAACCGGAACTGAGCGACCACATACGGAGTAGCGCAGCTGAGTTCCATGCTCGCCACTCACCTAGTCCTTGACTTTCCCATCCACGTGTCAGCGGACTCTTCGCATCTTGCTGTCTAATCGGGTGTTGCTAATGCCGTGTTACCTCATGATATCGGTCTCGCTCGGCGTAAGCGGGCCCCATCATGATCATGCTGAAATGCGTCGGTACACAGGAATAAGCGCTACCTCAAGGAATCACTCAATTCAATCAAGAACCAATTCAGTTCAATTAGAACCCTCCAATTTCCAATTCAATTAAGGGCCTTCAAATATCTTTCAGTTCAATTAGGTTCGTTCAATTATTCAATTCTTAATTGAAACACTGACTTTTCTAGGTTTTCCTAGGCTTCGATTCCTTCCTTCGAATCTTTCCTTCCTACCTACCTAATACGATGGCAAACGAACGTTCCCGACGCCCGACGCCCGTCGCCGCCCTTCCCGTCGCCGTCTTGCAAACAGAGCCTCAGCTAGTCAAGTGCTTTCTTACGCGTATATCGCCAACAGAGCCATTTAAGAGGCGCGTCCTTACCGTGACCGTGACGTTAGCCACAGTGGGGACGCGCGGGTTCAGATTCAGGGGGCAGCTTGGGCTGTAATAGAAGAGAGTTGCTGCTTAGTCAGCCTTCCAAAAAACGAACGCATTCGAATTTTATTGCGTTTTTGAGCGATACAGCCATTGCCAGCTATTTTGGCCGGTCGGAAGGTAGGTAAGGTAGGTCTGGAGAAGATGTGACCAGGGTTAGGGATATATATGGTGGGTTCAATTAGTTGCAATTAATTGATCAATTCAACTTTCAATTCAAATATCCACTGGGCCAGTCAATTCAACTTCAAATACAGCCATTCAATTCAATTAATTGAATTGAGTGATTCCTTGAACTACCTAGCAACGGTTATGCCCTGCGTGGACTGAGCTTTTGTCCCGTCAATGGCCACTCGGACCATTGTAATGTGTGCGAAACGTCAAAGCTGTTGCTAGCTAACCCAAAAGTCAAGTTGTTCGCATGTCGGAGGTCTTGGAATCGTTTTTGAGGGACGGACTTTGGCATCGATCCCTACCATGAGACCTGACTTTCAAATATATATAAGTTATATATGAAAAAGTTAATGTACCTGACACAGAACTCACTCCCTACTGTACCACGGGGTCAACATTGTTAGGTATACAGGATGAAGAAAAAGGGTATTCAGGCTGCTTAACTGGGAATCCGCAAGCGAGCAGAACGATTTGAAGGGGCAAGGTCAGATAGTCACGAAAGCCGGCATTCCCTTCTACTCATCCGACCCGCTGTCGGGAGATTCTTCTTCATCCGAATCATCATCCGATTCGGCATCGTCACTATCATCCTGGCTGTTATCGTCGTTGGACTGTGATGACGACTGGGACACTTCAAACACGGGTTCATATTCCGGCCCAGCCTCCTTGAATGTGTGGTGCGGTGGGTGGAAATTCTCCTTGGCACCGTAGCACCTGTAACACAGGCTGAGGTCTGCACACATCTCGCACGTGTACTTCAAGCCGGCAATATCCTGCAGATGAACCTGTTAGGAACCATCCTCACTCGTGCCAAGCCAGCAGGACATGGAGCTACTGGGTTGATGTCACTAGAAGTGAAAGTGGACTTACAAAAAGACAATATGCGCAGTACGCTCCGTCATGCTCCGTTAGTC